ACCTGAAGGCAGGACAAGAAGCAATGGGTGGAAACTAATCAAGGAGAGAAGCAATCTAGAACTAAGAGGAATTTCCAAACTGTGAGGACAACCAATCAGTGGAACAGCTTGCCTCTAGAAGTTATGGATGTTCCAATACTGGAAGTTTTTTAGGAAGAGACTGGACAACCATTTGTTTGAAATGGTGTAAGGCTTCCTGCCCGAGCAGGGGTTGGACTGGAAGACCTCCAAGGTCCCTTCCAACTCTATTATTCTGTTCTGTTATTCTGTGAGGTTGGTTTAGCTGAGGGAGATGGGCTGACTCAAAGTCATCCTGCTGGCTTTCATGCATAAAGCGGGACTAGAACTCACAGTCTTTTGGTGATTGGCCCTAAAGTCACTCAGCTAGCTTTCATGGCTAAGGTGGGACTTGAACTCTCAACCTCCTGGTGACTGGATCAAAGTCACCCACCCAGCTTTTATGCCTAAGACAGCACTAGAACTCATAGTCTCCTGATAAATAGCCCAAAGTCATCCATCTTGGCTTAGTGGGCGTGGCATGGCTTGGTGGGCATGGCTTGGTAGGCGCGGCAAGGGAAGGATACTGCAAAATCCCCATTCCCTCCCCATCAGCTGGGACTCGGGAGGCAGAGAATAGATGGGGGTGGAGCCACTCAGAGGTGGTATTTGCCGGTTTTCTGAACTACTCAAAATTTCTGCTACCGGTTCTCCACAACTGCTCAGAACCTGCTGAATTTCTGCGCCGGAGCCTAGGGAAGGTGAAAATGCCCCCCCCCGCCACCCCTGCAGTGGTGCAGGCGGCTGACTAGGCCACGCCCACATGGCCACACCCACCCAGCAACCGGGCAGACCACCCATTGCTGAAATTTTTGAAACCCATCCCTGGCATAGGGTGAAGGATTCCTACTGTCACCACAGACAAATCCGTAAGATAACCAGAACTGAACTATTCATTGCTAAACTGAATGTCGATGTATCTACCTGTTGTGGTGTCTACCTCAATGATGCTCTGGATGGAACACCTGGTTGTTGTCCCAGACTTTGGGAGACAGTTTTAGAGCCCTATAGGTTTTTGTTCACGTGGGTTCTTCAGAAGCACAGCGTTTTCTTCTTATTTTGTTCTTGTAGTTCCCTCACCACCCGCTGCTTTGACTTAAGTTTGCTGTAAGCTGCTCGGAATAATTTTGAAGTTGTGAGCTTCTACATCTCAGCCATACATGAATAAATAAATATATTTTATCTAGATAGGGAATTATTTATACCAGGCAGCAAAGTCTCATTGAAATGAGGGATGGAGAAATCTTTCGACCACAAGGGTAACTTTGAGATGATCTCATGGGATCCATATCAAAATTCTGCCAAGGCAGAAATGCTCAGGTTCACAATCCTCATTTACCAAAGGAAAAATTGGTGAATTTCAAATATTCTCCTGGGATGCTTCCTATAACAAGTTCTAAGAATGTCCCGGAGCTAAGAAGCATTCTTGAAAATAAAATTGAGGCCAGAAACTCGGGCTTTATGGCATTTCTATTTTGTTTTGGTTTTTTAGAACGAGTAAATAAAGTTCATTTCATTTCAAGACAGCTGAGGATTTCATAGACACATCGATGCGGGTGTACAGGCATCAAGATAAAATTATAAGAGCAAAATTAACAGAACAGAATAAAGGAGTGGGATGGGACCTTGGAGATCTTCTAGTCCAACCCCCTGCTAGGGCAGGAAACCTTATACCATTTCAGAAAAACGGTTGTTCAATCTCTTCTTAAAAACCTCCAATAATGGAACATCTACAACTTCTGTAGGCAAGTTGTTCCAGGGATTAATTGTTTTCACTGTCAGGAAATTTCTACCTTCAGGTACCCTGGAGAATAGTTCGACTTCCTCTTCTTTGGGGCAGCCCCTGAGATACTGGAACACTGCTATCATGTCTCCCCTAAGTCCTTCTTTTCATCAGACTAGACATACTCAGTTCCTGCAACCCTTCTTTATGCTGTATGTTTTAGCCTCCTGTCCCCTAATCATCTTTGTTGCTCTTCTCTGCATTTTTAAAAATGCTTTTAAATGATTCGGATGCCACCAGTTTGATTTTTCCACCCCAAATCTTGACTTTTGGATTGAAGCAAGCCTCAAATCTAATTGGATTTTGTGATCTCAAAAATTGCAGGCATTTCTAATCCATTTCTTAAAAGTCTTTAATAAGGTTATAGGCCCGTGATGGAGAACCTATGGCATGCGTAACGTGACCAGATTTAAAAATTGGTTAAGCGGGACACCATTGACGGGGTCACCATTGACGGGACACCATTGACGGCGTGTTCAAAAAGTCCCGATTTTCCAAAAGAAAGAAAAGGCGCCGAATCATCATTATCTTTTCTGGGGGCAGGAGGGGGCAGGAGTAACGCGGTGCCCAGCTCACGTGCTCCGAGCGGAGGGGGAGTTGGTACTGCTGCTGCCACAGGCGGGGGCTCCAGGAGTAGGGAGGGAACAGGGATTTTGCACTATCCTTCCGTTGCCATGCCCGCCATGCCATGCCCACAGAACCAGCAGTAAAAAATGTTTTGAATCCCACCACTGAATTCCAAATCCTGCAAAAGTAAACCTACGCCCTTCTCTTGATCAAGTAAATGAAGTCATCTCATCAAGAACTTCATAAATTATTCTTCAGAACTTAGCAACAGATCTAGTTGCAGAAAAGGAATGTAGCATATGTGCTTCTCTCCATCTTTAATTGAGGAGGGGAAAGAAAAACCTATCGAAGCTGGGAGATTGACAAAAATGTCACAACTCTCTCTGTATTTTGTTTGCCTGGAAGATGAAAGACTCTAACTTGAGAGTTCTTGCAATAATAGTATTCCTTCTTCTCAGGAGGAAGGAGGGGAAATAACCTTTGAAGTTTGACAGGTGGAAAAGTTTTATAAGACTGCAACATTTAAAAAGACATTTCTGTACCTTTTCTCCATTTTCCAAAGGTAGGGGAAGTAGGAAAAGAAAATGGAAAATAAGTAATTCTTGACAAGAGTACAAGCAGGCCTAGAAAAGCTTATCGATTGGTTGGTTGATTACGCACCATCAACTTGGTGTCAGATCTTGGAGAATGGATGGATAGAAAGNATCATCATCATCATCATCATCATCATCATCATCATCATTATCATCATAAAAATCCACATCTGCCTATCACAGGTCCTTGGTAAGGACTCGATAGGTAGACAGAAATGCCAAACCCAGTTTGAACATCTGGCTGACTGTGGGATCATCAATAATAATAATAATAATATAGTTTCTGGACCCCTTATCATCTTTCTTGTTCTTTCTAGGGTTTCAACATCTTTTTTGTATCATGGTGACAATGGGATCCAAAGGATGACTTCTTGAGAAGGAAGTGCAACACTCTGGCCCCTTCAGGACATTGTAGATGGCCACAAACAGACATCAAAGCTACTACTTGAACCCAACCCAACTGGTTCCAAAACCTCCCAGGTAGTTGGGAGTATTAGAAGTTTCTTCTCTGGAAGAAACAATACATCCTTTCCAAGCCACAGGGGCAAGACCTCAGCTGCACAGATAAACTAAATATCAGATAAGAGGAAGGTGGCCTCAAATCAGAGGGGTACATACGTAGAACACGAACTCCATGCTTCAAGGTTTGAACACGGCCAGGTTCCATGGACATGCTCAGCATGGTCTGCTGTCCTCCAATTGTGCACACTTGGTGTTCTTGAGCCGCTTGCTTGAACATGATGATAAGTTGGTTGGCTATGATGGTGTTGAGGACGGAGATAACCGCCATTGGGAAAACGAAGGAGATGAAGACGTTGACCTGGATGGGATAGGAAGAGAGAAAATTAGGGAAATCTTGTTAGCATCTAAAGGGAAGAAAGGAGATTAGAGATTTGGGTGGTGGTGGGGACCCATTCTTTCCAGTAAAAATGCTATCACAGATGGTCCTTGACTTACAATCATTTGGAATAGAATAGAATTCTTTATTGGCCAAGTGTGATTGGACACACAAGGAATTTGTCTTTGGTGCATAGGCTCAAAGTGTACATAAAAGAAAAAAATACATTTTTCACAAACATAAGGTACAACACTTAATGATAGTCATAGGGAATAAATATAAGCAATTAAAATCATACTAGGAAACAATCAATATATATTGTAAGGATACAAGCAACAAAGTTATAGTCATACAGTCATAAGTGGGAGGAAATGGGTGATAGGAATGATGAGAAGATTAATAATAATAGCAAAGCAGTGTTGAGGGAATTATTTATTTAGTAGAATGATGGTGTTCGGGGGAAAAACTGTCCTTGTGTCTTGTTGTTCTGGTGTGCAGTGCTCTATAGCGTTGTTTTGAGGGTAGGAGTTGAAACAATTTATGTCCACGATGTGAGGGCTCTGCAGATATTTTCACGGGCCTCTTTTTGATTCATGCAGTATGCAGGTCCTCAATGGAAGGCAGGATGGCAGTAATTGTTTTTTCTGCAGTTCTAATTATCCTCTGAAG